TGATACCCCGTAAGGATGACTGTCATCTTCCTCAGTAAAATACACTCTATGTATATTATCCTCACCTGGGGCCAGGGATATTGCTCAGTGATTCTGCCACCTGCCTCACAAGTGCAAGGACCCAAGTTCAATCCCTGCCACCAATAAGAAGAACAGAGATGTGGAGTGACCCCATTTCTTATGACTTCCCATAACTTCCATAGGAATTTGTACTTCCTGCCACACAGATTTAGATTCTCAACTTGTGGTCCTGTGCTTTTCAAGGTTTTCTGGGCTGAGGATGTAGCTGTGCCTGCCGTGTGCAAGTTCCTGAGTTTGATCCCCGGTACTGACCAAAAAAAAAAAAAAAGGCTTACCTAATTTGCAGTTTAAACTATATAAAATTAAATTAAAATTGTAGCTCCTTGATAACACTAGTCACAGCTCAGTACTGCATGGCAGCATGTGGTGGCTATATCCCATATTGGACAGTGCTTGCTAAATTTTTCATTTTTCAGTGAGTATATTTCCACCAAGAGAAATAACGTGAGTCCTAGTGAACTTTGTGTTCTAGCTCCCCACATGGCACTGTTTTTTCAGTGCTTAGGTGGATCGCTCAAACCCTGGATCTTGTACCTGCTAGACCGATGACACAAGAATGAACTACCCTCTCTGTCCCTCACCTATGGGTCCTGTGGTCCTCCCAGTTTGATACCAGCAGGCACAGGACATTTGTCACAAATCTGTCATGGGTAAGTAACCCTGTTCATTAGAAAAAGGCAGGGATGCTCTTGCATAAAGGACAGAGAAGTGTCAAGGTGATCCACTGGAATATGCTCAGGACCTCTGCCTGCTTTCTATGATAAACGGGCAAGCTTACTATTCATAAGCCTGGAGAGGACTCAGATTCCTGAAGGAGGACTTTTACATCACCATGTGAGCTGTGTCTGGCAATGCATTATAGAAATTTCAAGTTAGATGTTTTTTGTTTTAGAGATAAGCAACATATCCTGAGGTCTTTGTGCTGACTTCATAAACAACAGCCCCTCCTAACCTCAGCCCTAAGGAAATGACAGAATATGCTAATGCCACCAGCCCTCACAGAGCTGGAGCCTGGTTTCCTTTCCAGAAGAAAGAGGAGGATGAACTGAATATGGCTGGATGTGATGAGGCAGGTGTGGAGATCACATTGTCTCTCAGTGCTTCTGCTCCCCTCTGTTCCTAACTCCAAAAGGCCCTTACCTACCTGTACAAAGAGAGATGGCTATTTAAGGTCCTGTCTCAGGCTGAGCAGGTTGGTAGTAAGGACATAGAAAGCATAAGGCTCCAAACTGAGCATGCCGAGGCCAGGTCCAGGAGAGGGTGGGCCATTTCAGTCGCCACCAGGATTTGGGTGATTTTGGCTGCTACCTGGCATTCACACTGGAGGGACATCACTACTGTCATGAAAATGGCAGGTGTGCCCCGGAGCCTGAAGGATGTGGTTGGCATGAAGGAAACTCTGCAGTTACTTCTGTGGGGTGGCTCCTGCCCAGGGCCTTCAAGATATAGAATCAGCTTGCTCCTGTCAAAGGGAGAACATGCATGGCTGAAACTCCTAGGCATGCGAACAGAGAGGCCTGGGTGCTGTGTGGACAGGTCATGAGGATTAACCCAGTTTTTCTTGCTGCACCTCCTATATATCTGCTGTAATAAATAACTAATGGGTCTGCTAGTATTTCAGTGGCACAGGACAATCCAATGACCCATCCTAAGGACAAGTGGAATATAAAGCTCCCCAGTCTAGGAAAGAGGGGAAGCCAAGCTGTGTGTGGATAAGGACTTGTAGTGTCACCATAAGTGGTCACATAATAGATGCTCATCCAAAATCAGCAAATATGATTTGTTAAGGTAAAATTCTCTTTCTTTCTGGGAAGACGTTTTAAGAAAGTAAGATGGGCCTAGAAATTTTCCAGTCTTTACAAGTGTCACCTACTATGTGACAGATATTTCAGATACACAATCAATCTAACTTACATATTATTCTAAAAATTTTAGCAGGATGGGTTCTTGTACTTCACTCATTAGTACTTGCATGTACTTCCCTTCAAAACAACCTCCAATCTTAGCAGGGTGAGAATTTTCTCCTGTCTGGATTTTGGTCAGCCTGCTAACCTGTGAGCTGTTCCTGCAGAGCACACGACTGTCCTTATTTCAACATCAGGACGAGTGCAATTAGGCAGACTGCAAACCAGGATTTCCTTGTGGGGATGGACACAGACCAGAGACAGGAGAAAGAGGGTGTTTTTATTATTTTTATTTTGAAGATCAACAAAAGAGCACCTATCACCTACTCAGAGGACTTCAGGGTTTGAAGGAATTCAGCCCCAGCAAAGTTTTTTCTTTCCTCTACTGTGGTGAGCATGGCTCTGCCTCACCTACAGCTTCTCAGGGAGCTTTGGGGTTTGACAACCCACACAAGCCCATGCACCTGCACATGTTATAGGAACCTTTCTCAGTAACTCATTTCATTAAAAGCCTACAAAAATGTCAAGATGGTCTCAAAATCTATCCCAATTTACCAGGCAGGACAAGGAGTAGATAATGTTCCAGGTCAAACCACTTACCACCCATTTGGGAAAGCTTGAGAGTGTGTTATTTTGCTTCCCAGGCACAAAACTAGGGTCCAGACATCATGGTCCAATGTTGACTCTTATGTCAAAAGTCTGTTGCTATTGGAGGGTTTCCATGGTGAGCAAAGTGACAGGCAGGGCCTTCCACATGCCATGGGTGAGGACAGGTGATTGAGCAGTTCCCTGGGAGTAGAGTGCACCCATTGCCTGCTCATTTTACATTCTTAATTCAGGCTGGGTCAGTGCTTTGAACACAGGAACTTCCTAAACCATGAGAGGTATTTTTTAATTTCTCTAAATACAGAAATAAATTCAGAGACAGAGCTAGGTTCAGGCTGGGAGGAATGGGAACAGGGTGGCCTCCAGATGACCTCATACTGAAAGTCTAGTCCTGCCCTTGTTATTTACCACACAGGAGTCCTGAGAAGTTCCTGAGTCCAGTAGGCCTGTTTCTTCATCTACAAAATGGGTTTCACAAACATTTTTGGTTGTAGGAGTGGTGGGATCTGAGAAATGTATTAAAACATCTGGCAGAATGCTTGACATAGATTGAATATTTGGTGATAAGCAGGCAGTTCTAATATTACCTTAAACCTGGAAGGCCTCTCACTTTTCCTGGAAAATTTGAGTGTGTGTTTCTCAAGGAAGCTGCAGCTCAATCTGAAAATGAATAGAGAATCAGCCAAAAATGCTACTTAGTAAATATTCCCCCAATATGTTCTCTCCAATAGGATGTATTATTTGATTCAATGTTGTGGTCTGGCCCTGCTGGAACCAACTAATTCAAAGCTCCTGAATTTGGGTGAAGAATCACATTCCTCTCCCTGTCAGCTGCTCTTCCACTGGAACAACTATTTTCAACCATATCAGCTTCACCAAAAGTCTGTGTTTGGGACTCATGATGTCTCCATGACAATGGGGCCTAAAACCCTGCCAATTCTAATGACAAGGTCAGCTCATTGCTGATGCAGTTACATGAATATTCAAGCAAAATTACATACCCTAACAACACTAGCAGCAACTTCCTTCAGAAAGGAATAATTGAAACCTGGCCCAGACTGAGCCCTTGTGTAACACAATGGAAGCCTATCACAAAGTCCAAGAAGAGTCTCTGGGGGGAGAACCTCTTGTTTAGGTAGTTATCTGGCCATTTGTGAAACTGGGTGAATCCACTGGCCAGATACTGATGACCATCTTTTAAGAATGTTGAGGCAAACTGGACTCAGGAGGAGAAGTTGTTCACAGGAAAGCAGTCAACTGGGCACTGTAAGACCTTGGAAATTGGACACTCCCATCAGAGAAGAAAGCACCTCGGCAAGCACTTTAGGTCCTCACTTCCCCTGAGAGTCAACCTTATCTCTCAGAATATCCTTCCAGGTGCTGGGGATAAGTCCCTTGGTTCCTTCCCTGGGTAGGACCAGGGATGAGAATCAGTGTCCCATGTGAAGATTCTTCTCAGCTTCATCAACCATCTAAAAAGTTTGCACAGAGGAGTCTTCTATTCTCTCAAGCTCTTATCTCTGGCCCAAGACACCTCATCTGAGGGTCTGGCCCTGGCCACATTGCAGCTGCATTAAAATCAACTCCTGAGCCGGGCGTGGTGGCGCACACCTGTAATCCCAGCACTCGGGAGGCTGAGGCAGGAGGATCACTATCAAAAAAAAAAAAAAATCAACTCCTGCAGTTATCCCAAGCCCCAAACTACCCTGGCTCAGCACTCACAAGTGGCTGCTGTCTTACACTCTCAGTGCTCTTTTTCATGCCCTTTAGGTCCTGGTGGACATCTTTCTGTCTCCCGACATTGGTGGTTCTCCTGAACTGCACCGTCCTATGAGTAACTTGGATCCTGCTCAGTCTGGTTTACTCACATCTCCACCACAGACACAGGGCCTCCCAAAGGACACAGCTACAATGAATTTGAGGGTCAATATCCCTGTGAGCAGATTATATTGTTAAATCACATTACATTTCTCTAGTATAATTGAAGAAACCAAGCAAATTCATGTATACATACATTTTTAATAGTGTAGATTAAAAAAGAAAAGGAAATAAGAAGCCGAGACTTGATTTTTGTCCTCATATTTTTCTCTGGATTCCATCTAACTTGATGTAAATTTTTTATACGTTTCTAAGGAAATTCTTGTTCAAATTCAATGGTATCTTTTTCAATATCACAAATAAAATGAAAGGTTTCCCTGTTGATTTTACAAAAAACAAAGACTTATACATTTCAACGGAAGAGCAAAATTCCTGTGATTAATATCACACAAAATCAGTTTCACATTGGGAATCACAATCAAGCATCAATACTAGAAAAGTAAAAAGATGTGTGATTAGTATCTTTCTTCAAATAAGATGTGCAAGCTGTCAATCTTGCAAAAAAAAGGAGCAAGACTTCAACAAGTCATGAAGAAAACACGTGCTTTTACAAAGAACTCAAATAGAACAGACATCAAGATGCTATGTATGATATTTCCCCCATCTTCTTCTGGCTCTGCACTACTTAGAAGACTTACTGCTCTCCACAAATACAAATGGAGAATTGGCCTCATCCCACATAAGGTCAGAGCTAAGCTAGTGATGTTGCTGTGGAACACTCCTTGTCCCTACCATTCACATCACAGTGCCTCCTCAATGGCACTTAACTAATTTACGGAAGCCTTTAGCTCCTCTCTCAAGGCCTGTTCAAACAGAATTGGGCAGGACCTGGGATGGATCTTATTAACCTTGGCCAAATGCTCCAGAACTTTCATCTTGCTAGTTTCAGCCTTGGCCCTTGGACCCCACAGAAACTCATAGCGAGCAGGATCACTATTGGGCACCTGCCGATATTCCAGGTACTGTTCCTGTACCAAATCCTCAGTGACAAATTTCCACCGGACCTCATTAAGAAAGTTCTTCCTTTTTGGTAACATTGTCCTCATTCTCAGGACTTTCCCTATGTCTTCCTCACTGACACAGTTGCCCTTTACAAAGATGACAGTCAAGATCACTATCAGGAGATCGATTTTGGGAATAATCTGGTCACCACCTATTATCCCTTTATAAGTGAGGCCCAAGACAGGGACAAGGTCATATGTGTGGCTAGGGGAATTCCCTTGCCTCACATCAATGCCAAAGCCAAAACACATGCACTCACAGACTCTTTTGAAGATCAGAGGGAAATGCTCATGATAATTGTGGTCCACAATGTGCAACATTTCTGCCTTGGTGACTAGCTCTTTCTTTTGATACTTCAGGAGCAAAAACTCCACCAATTTAGCTGTCTTGTCATCTATGAACACACGTCGCAGAATCTGAGGGACTAGCATATGCTGTGAAGTGCATGGATCCTCCTCTTCTTCACTGCTGAAGCTCTGGCTGGATTGGCTGCTTTGACTGAAGTCCATAGTGGTGGCAGAGAACAGACAGTCCTGAGTATTCTGGAGACAACTTCGTGTCACAGCCCGAAGCACTTCACTTCTTTAATCAGGATTTGAGTATGAGTAAGAAGAGGCAGAGGAAGCTGTGGCTACTACTTGCTCCACTTAAGGTTTGAGAACCTACACCTCTACAAGGCAATGCGCTCCCCTTTGGTCAGGACAGCCTCCTCGTGGCTTGCTTCACTGTGTCCTCTGACTATGAAGATGTTCTTGGGGACAGTAAGAACTTGGTGATGAGGATTCTGATGCCTGGAGGAGAGAGGGATACTGTGAGTATACTCAAGTAAAAACAGCACTCTTGTCAGCTCCCACAAAAGCCTGATTTCAAGTCTTCTCTTTAAGAGGTGCTCTAGGGCCTCACAGGGTCCTGTCATTTTGGACAGTCTGTCCCTAAGAACCTGGGAGAGGAAATGAGACTGCTCCTCAGGTTATAGCTGAACCACAGACCATAAGCTTCTAGGGAGGACAGTATGGCAAGTGGAGCCTGGGCACAAGGAGTTGCCTTTGTTCTTGGGTAGGTAAAGCCCTAGGTATACGTCAGGGCATGCACTCTCCTTGACTCCTGACACTGCCTGGGCCTCCTCTGTTGTGTGACCTGTCGATGCTGCCTCAGACTCAGACCTAAACTGCCTTCTTTCTGGATCTCCTGTAAGAGGCACGGATTGGCCTCTTAAAGTTGTCACCTCCCTGAGTCCTCACACCTGCAACTATTTAGAATTCAGTCACCCTCACTGGGAACTCCAGGCTGGTAGTAGGGGAAGCCAGGTTCTGTAGGGTCGTCTTTATTATGGATGTGGATTACCTTCATACATTCAGTGCTGGAAAATGATGATGTGATGAGCAGCAGCAATTCAGCCACTCCAGTACTCAGAAGCCATACTCTGGAAAAATCATTCCTTGGGGAGATAAATAAAAGGAAAAAAGAGAAGTGTATCCCCGGGAATCCAGAAGGGTCTTACAGGAAAATTAAAAATTTCAGAGAAATTGAAGAGACAGGTAAGAATGCAGAGAATGGAAAAAACAGTGTACAGTTTCTCCTTGGCTTCTGTCTCATGGGGAAGGAGAATGAATCTGGAGAACTAAAGTGAAACCTGAGAACTCCAAGAGATCCCAAGGAGAAAATGCAGTGGTTCCGTGGACTGGCAGTTGCTATGATCTTCAGGGACAGTGTGGAGTTGTACTTCCACAGAATCCTTACAACTGGTGAATGACCCCTGACCAGGTGCCTGCCACTTCCCTGGACAGTGCCTGAGCTTGGGTTCCATTCTGGGAAGGGGTTGAGTATTTGAACTTGGGACTCAGAATAGCCACGGGAAAGTTTCACTTCAGGGTTCCCAGAATTACCCTACCACAATGACTGGATGAGAGACCGATTCAGAAAACAGACCTGGACAGGTGAGGGTAAGCTGGAAAAAGAACATATGGGGAGTTTGAACTCATCTGGGAAAGGCACAGTCCCTACTTCTATTGGCCAGGAAACAGGCCCAACCTGAATTGCTCTAGATTTGAAAGTCTTGATATTAGTTATTGAAACCTCTGCCCTTTTTCCTGTATCCATCATGGATCTGGGATCTGGCTGCCTTTCTTATCTACCATTGTGAACAGGAACGCGTCTTGACTTGGACACAGTCACAGCCTGGGCAAAACAAAGGGGCCTCAGAAAAAAAAATCAAGAATTTCTAAACTCAAAAATTCTGGATCCTGGATGGAAACTATTCTTTCAAAATTAAAAGAAATTTTTTTTTATTTTTTCCTTATCATTTTCTTACCTCTTATTTTCCCCTTCTTTATCCTTTTAACTCTTCCTTACTTTTTTCTCCATATAATTTCTTTTCTTTTCTCCTTTTATTCTGTTATCTTCAAGTTCTCATCAGTATTTTCAGTTATCTTTACCTAATTCTATAAACATCCTTTTAGTCCTTAGTAGGATCCCTTGTCCAACTTCTCTTGCCTCCTTCTCATATTTTATAGTTTAAGCTTTCATATTTTTCTTTTTTCATTCCAAATTTCCAGCACCCTGCATCTTTAATAGTGAACCATTAAGCTTTGATATTAATATTGATATAGTTAACTCTATACAATTATTGCTGAGTTTTTTCTACCATTGCCAGATCTGTAACTGTTGCATTTAGTACATATTAGCAGCATGCAAATAGAATCTGAGTTGTTTTAATATGTGTTCTATAATTGTGGATTTCTATTCTGTGGTTAAAGGTGGTACCTAATTGCTTATAATTGATTGTTAATATAAAATTTCTTTTGGATGATGTTGCTGTACATGACATCCTTGTCATTACTAGGGTCACATAATTATTGCCATTAAAGGGGTTCCTCTGTATGCCAATACCTAGATTACCTTTGTGACATTAACAATACTGGGGTATATTCCCAGAGAACTTAGTTTTGGGCCATTTACACTGCATCTTCCCCTCTCAAATTAACAGAGGCGATCAGATAGATCTTAGGGCAAAGGCAAAGGATTATAATTACCTATACCCAAAGTACATCACTGAAAGAAGACTAATTAAACAGATAGCATAAAAGTATTTCCACTATAAGTGTCACAAACTTTAGCACAAAAGAAACAATCAAACAAACAATAGAAACATGAGAAGACAGGCAACATAATGACTTCCCAAACTCCCAACTCCCCCCAAACAAATTTAGAAGGCAACAAGGGGAGAATAGCATAAGCCACACTCCCAAACTACACAGAAGGATAACAGCATTTTAGAAAACATATCAAAGACATGTATTGTGGGATCACAGAAGGGTTACTAAACAGGCAATGGAAGTAATAACCAAAATGATCAAGAAGCTTTCAAAAGACATTAATAAGAAGCTGTGTAAGCAAAACTAAATGATACAAAAAATAAATGAACACTTTAGTAAATAGATTCCATCAAACAGTTTCAATCACAAATCTTAGAGATTAAAAATTATGTTGGACTTATGGACAGCACAAGTGAACAATGTGAGTACAGAATTTCAAAATTAGAAGGCAGGAATGTTTTCAAGATCAATGACTAAAATTCACTTTAAAAGCAACAGGAGAACATGAAAAATGGACCCAAATGGTGTTAGATGATGCAAAGAAGACAAATCTCAGAGTAATTGGAATAATTGAAAAATTTGAAGATAGCACAAATTGCATAAAATAGTCTTTTTACAGAAATAATAGCAGAAAACTTGACAACATAAGGAAAGAAATAAATGTACAAATGAGTGAGACATACAACTCCAAACAACCATGACCAAAAGAGAACCTCTCCAAGTCACACTGTTGTCAAAATACCAGAAGTCTGACACAGGGACAAAATCTTAACAGCAGTTAGAGAAAAGCAACAAATCATGTCTAAAGGTAAACCCATTAGAATAACTGCAGACTTCTCAACACAAACTTGAAAGGGCATACGAGCTTGGAGTGAAGTGTTTTCAGCCTGAAAAGGTAGCAAATTCAAACCCTGACTTACATATTCTCCAAAACTATCATTCAAAATTGGTCAGAATTAAGTTACTTCCACGAAAAGGAGCTCATCAAGAAATTTGTGATCCCAAAACCAGAATTATAAAAAAATTCTCAAGGGTATCCTAGAAAGAAACAATGAAGCCAACAATGCAAATAAGTAAAACAAAATGAATGTGCCTTGCAGGATAAGCATCAAATCAGATAGAAAAAAAATAAGGAAGTCAGCAATAGGAAAATAACACAATGCCAGTCAATATTTTTTGGGGGGAATAACTCTCAAATATTCAATTACAAGACAAAAACTGGCAGAATGGATCAAGAAACAAACCTCAACAATAAGCAGTATACAAGAAACATATTTACAAAAAAATCACAGATTAGAGATCAATTGATGGAAAACAACATTTCATGCAACAACAACCTGGAAAAAAGCAGGAATAGCCATCCTAATTTCAAACAAAGTGGTTTTTAAGCCAAAACTGATCAGAAGAGACAAAGAACCCTACATATTGGTTAAAGTAACAATCCAAAGGGGAGAGATAACAATTATAAACAGGAAAGCATCAAACACTGGCACACTCAACTTCATAAAACAAACATTAATGGACCTAAAAAATCAGATAAACACCAATGCAAATATAATCAGGAAACCCTATACCCCACTATCACAAATAGATCTTCTAGACAAAAAAAAATCAACAGAAAAATATCAGAGTTGAACAAACTTTAAAAAATGGACTTGATAGATATCTACAAAGTGCTCCACCCAGCAACAACAAAATACACATAATTCTCAGCAACATATGGGACTTTCTCCAACATGAATTCTATGCTATCTGATTAAATATGCTTCTGTGGGCTGGGGATTTAGTTCAGTGGTTCTGCCACCTGTCTCACAAGCACAAGATCCCAAGTTCAATCCCTAATACAAAAAAAAAGCACAACTAAATGCAAACAAATCAGAATTATTCCATGCATATATCATATCATAATGCTATGAAACTAGAGCTCAATGGCAAAAGAAACCACAGAAAAGTTGAAACAAAAGGAAATTAAACAATATCCTCTTGAAAAATCAGTGGCTCACAGAAAAAATTAGGAAATTTCTAGTAATGCAAATACAGCATATTGGAAACTATGGGACACATGAAAGCTGTCAAAAGAAGGAAATTTATAGCATTGAATGCCTGGATCAGAAAAATAGCATGAGTTCAAATAAATAACCTAACAGTGCACCAGAAGTTTCTAGAAAAATAAGAATGCTAACACAAGGAAGGATATTATGAAGATCAGAACAGAAATTAATGAAATTGAGACAAAAAATACAAAGAATCAATGAATTGAAGAATTAGTTCTTTTAATAAATAAAGAAAATTGACAAACTCCTAGCCAATCTTACCAAAACAAGGAAAGAAAAGACCCAAATCTGAACAATTACATTTCTGAAATGAAAAAGGCAAAATCACAATGGACTTTGTCAAAATCCTGAAGATCACTGGTACTACTTTAAGAACCTGTACTCTAATGAAATGGAGAAGTCTGAAGAATATATAAATTCTTAGATTAAATAAGAACTACCAATGCTGAACCAGGCAGATATAAAGTTTTGAATAATCCACTATCACTCAATGAAATGAAATTAAAGAATTTATTTAAAAACCTACCAGTTAAGAAAACCAAGGTCCTGATAGATTTATTGCCAAATTCCACAATAAATTTAGCACAGCTCTAATGCCCATACTCTTCAAACTCTTTACTAAAATCGAAAGGGAGGAAGTGCCCCTCATGTCATTTTTGACAGCAAGCTTTATCCTGATCCCAAAACCAGAAAAGGATCCAACCAAAAAAGACATCTACAGGCTAATCTCTTTAATGAATATAGGTGCAAGAACATATTGGCAAAGAAAATACACCAAATCACCAAAAAGATGATAAATCATGACCAAGTAGAATTCATTCCAGGGATGCATAGATGGTGTTGCTTCTGCAGTACATACAACAGGGATGCAAGGATGAGTCAGTATGTACAAATCAAAAAACAATATACTGCATAAACAGAAGCAAGGACAAAAAGCACACGATTATCTCAATAGATTTAGAAAAAAATTGACAAAATTCAAAATCAATTCATGATAAAAATCCCAAAGAAAGTAGGTATAGAAGAACCTTACTTGAATCTGATAAAAGCCATCTATCAGAAGCCAATGGCCAATTTCATATTAAATGTGGAGAAGTCGAAAGCTTTTACTCTAAAATCAAGAACAAGGATGTCTGTTATCACCACTCCTGTTCAATATTATTCTGAAAATATTTTTCCAGAGCAATCAGGCAAGAGAAAGAAATTAAGGGGATATATACAAAGGAATAATTAAATTACCATTTTTGCAGATGACATGATCCTCAACATAGAATACTTCAAAAACTCCACAAATGCTCCTAGAATTAACAATCAAATTCATTAACATAGCAGGCTACAGAGTCATCACTCAAAATTCAATAGCATTCCTCAGGAATTAACATAACCAAGAAATGAAAGACCCCTATGGTGAAAACTCAAGTACTTTGAAAAAGGATATAGATGAGAATATCAGAAAATGAAAAGATACCCCTGCTCCTCAATAGGCACAAACAATATAGTCAAAATAACCATAATTCTAGAACAGTTATACAGATTTAATGTAATCCCCAGTCAAAATACCAATAGCATTCCTCATAACTAGAGAGAACAATCCTAAAATTCATATGGAACCAGAAGAGACTTAGAACAGCCAAAGCAATCCTGGGCTTATGAGAACAAGGCAGGAGGTATCACCATCCCAGACTTCAAGTTATGCTACAAAGCCACAGTGATAAAAACAATATGGTATTCATAAAAAAACATACTTGTGGATTAAGGAAACAGAATAGTGTACTGAAACAACTCCAGGCCTATTCAGCTACCTTATATCGACAAAAGCGGGTGGCAAATACTTTTGCTTAAGGAAAGAGAGCCTCATTTAAAAAATGGTGCTAGGAAAACTGGCTATCAATATACTTAAGATTGAACCTAGATCCATATCTCTCAGGATACAATAAACTAAAATGAGAATGAATGAAAGATCTAAATTATTAAAAGAGAAATAATCTTCTGAAAGACAATATTGGTAAAACTCTAGAAGACATAGGCATAGGAAAGGCCTTTATGAACTTAACCCCAGCTGCATCAGAAATAATACCAAAACTCAACAAATGGAATTATATCAAAAAGCTTCTGCACAACAAAGGAAACACCCAAAAGAGTGAACAGACACCCTACAGAGTGGGAACATTTTTAACATCTACTCTTCAAAGGACAAATATCTAGAATATGTAAAGAACTAAAAAATTAGACCCCCAAAATTAAAATACCCAATTCAAGAAATAAGGTAAATGACACTTCTCAGATGAAGAATTACAAATGGCCAATAAATTTATGAAACAATGTTGCACATTTCTTTCCATTCAAGAAATGCAAATGAAAACAACACTGAGATTTCATGTCACTCCACAAGTGTCTATCTTCAAAAAAATCAAATATAGCAAATGTTGGCAAGCCTGCATGGAAAAGCGAGCCTTCCTTCACTGTTGCTGGGAATGTGATTTGGTACAACCACTATGGAAATCAGTGTAGGGATTATTACTGCTTCTCAGCCTTTGGCTAAGATCAAGTAGAGATCATTTAGAAAACTAACACTGGAAATTTGATTCAACTGAAATATTTTGCTTCTGGGTAACTTCAGGAGAGATTAATGACTTATCAGAGTGATACACGCATGCCCATGTTTATAGCAACACAATTCAAAACAACTAAAACTAGGAAGCAGCCTATACGTCCAACAGATGGACTGATCTATGCACAGTAGGCTACTACTCTGCCATAAAAATGATGAACTTGAATCTTTTGTAGGAAAATGAATGCACCTTGAAACCATACTATGAAGTGAACTAAATAGGACAGGATCCAAAGTATAAATATCACATGGGATCTCTTATATATGAGACACAAAATATAAATAGAGAGCAAAGCAAAATGCACATAATAGTAAATACTGAGATAGGCTTTTAGCATTTGGGGAGGGTGCCCAATGAAGAGAGAGTGCGGGGCTGGGGATTTAGCTCAGAGGGGCTGCCGCCTGCCTTGTAAATGCAATGACCAGAGTTTGATCCCCAGTACAAAAAAGAAAAAAAGAAAAGAAGCAAGAAAAAAAGAAGAGAGAGTTTGGAAAGAGCAGAGGGGCATAAAATTAAAAAGTGGGAACGAAGGGAAAGGAATAAATATGAGAAAAGGAAAAAATGGAATAAAGTCTTTATAAATAGGGGGAGGTGGAGGGGGTGAAAAGAGGGCAGGGGAATGGGGAAAAAAATAACCAAGATATATCATGTAAAGGTATGAATTTCCAATGATGAATGTCATCATATTGCAATCTAAAATGTACCAATAAAAATAATGAATTTTAAAAATCCAGAAAAAAGGGGAAACTGTGAAGTTGGCACATGTACAAATTACCTATGAAGAATGTAACCATTATGTACTCCAAACGTTAATGCATAAATACGCATGCATATTTTTTCAAGACATACAGAGGGCAAGGGAGAACATGAAAAAGGGATAAAAATGAACATGTGTCATGCATTTGTACCTACTCTTCATGATGGATGTAATCATTATGCATAATAAACATGTACTAATAAGAAGAAAATAACTTTAGTGCTCACCCAGGTTTCTCACCTTGATTCCCAGCAGATCTCACCTGCTGCCTTTGCTGACAGGACGGGTCTCCTCCTCTGACCTGGTGAAGATCCTCACAGCAAGGCGGTCCTGCCTGAAACCAGGGAGACAAAAATGCAGCAAATCTGCACACCTCTGTATGGGTTTCCCCAGACTGACTGAGGAGTAGGATCCAGAAGCCCTCCCTTGTGTGGTGCTGGCCCAGGTGTTCACATTTACTTGATGCTGACCTGTGGGTGCATCTGGCAAATCAAGCCCACTATCTCCCTAGGACAGCAGAGGCGGAAGGATGGGGCACAGTGACTCTTGTACACAGTCCCGCCTGAGGCCACCCCAGCCTGTCAGCAGGGCCAGGCTTCCCATGTCTTGGATCTGTTGATTTGAGCCCACACTGCTCACACCAAGACCCCTTCCTCCCTAACACCAAGAGCCGGGAGCAAAGGTGCACTGCATCCCCAGAAGCTCATGTCTGGGTGGAGGTCACCCTCTGCTCTAGTGACCAATGTCCATGTAATTGTCCCCTTGAGTCTTGGAAGTAGCTCTACCCGTCTGTGAAACTGAGTCTCCTTCCTCAGACTCTACCGGGGAATGCAGGACTCCACTCATCTGTTATGTGTCCTGGGCCCTGCGGTTCAGCCTCGTCTCGCATCCTGACAGGTCCAGAGCCACAGCAAAGGTACTGCATCCCCAGAAGCTCATGTCTGGGTGGAGGTCACCCTCTGCTCTAGTGACCAATGTCCATGTAATTGTCCCCTTGAGTCTTGGAAGTAGCTCTACCCGTCTGTGAAACTGAGTCTCCTTCCTCAGAGACTACCGGGGAATGCAGGACTCCACTCATCTGTTATGTGTCCTGGGCCCTGCGGTTCAGCCTCGTCTCGCATCCTGACAGGTCCAGAGCCAGGGTCTCCCATTCCCCTCAGGTCTTGCTCTTTCCTCAGAGACCCTAGGGTCCCTCAGACCCTGT